CCTTTTAGTCTCGAACCAGATACCACACTTGCGACTGTTCGTCTTAAAGGTAAGAAAAAGGATAAGGAACGATTGACTGTGGCATTTTGTGCCAATGCAGATGGAACAGATAAAATAAAGCCGTTTGTTATTGGTAAGTCTCCCAACCCACGTTGCTTTAAAGGTGTGAATAGAAACAAGCTTGGTGTTACCTACGGGGCTAGTAGCAAAGCATGGATGACTACTATATTATTTCAAAAATGGCTAAAGGAATTCGACTTAAAGATGGCTGGTCGCAAGGTGATTCTTTTAGTGGATGGTGCAAAATCTCATTCTTGAAGTAATTTGAACCTTCATAATACAACCGTTCATTGCCTTCCTCCGAACACCACATCTCGCCTTCAACCTATGGATGCCGGTATCATTATGTCATTCAAACGTCGCTATCATAGTTATTTTATAAAGTGGTTGCTTGATCAGTATGAATATGGGGAGGATAATAAAATGGATGTTCTTACTGCTATAAAATATATTGCTCGCGCATGGAGAGAAATATCATCAGAAACGGTGCATAATTGCTTTAAACATACTGGAATCCTTCTGGTTATTCAAGATAATGAAGAACTTGTTAGTAATGATAATGATGATGAGTTAATAAAAGAATTGCATATGGATATTGAGGCACTCTGCCTTCGAAATGTAATGGATCTTAACAATTTTATTAATTATCCGGAAGAAAGTGATACAACTGAAATATTAACTGACCAAGAAATCCTGAACCTAACCACTAGTGTGGTACCTGAGGAAAATCAAAATGACGATGAGGATGACAGCGTAGAAATACGCCAGATTACTCATAATGAAGCACTAAACGCCGTAGGCTTACTTGAACAATACCTTTTCCAGCAGGATTTTGGTGATATGGCTCGATCAGAACATGACGAAGCTCTATCTAAGTTACAGAGGGCAATAAGGAAATTCCGAAATGCGTCTTTGAGACAAGTTGATCTTGAAGCCTTTTTCAAATCAGTAGATTCTTAACCATTTTTTTTTAAAAAAAAAAAATAAAAAAATAAAGGAAAAAAAAAGGAAAAAAAAAATAAGGAAAAAAAAAAAGAAAAAGAAAAAAAGGGCCCATTTTACCTTTTTTTTTTAACAATTTCGATGATATTTAACTGAAATTCATCGATATTCATTTTAATAATCGTTTGACAAAAAGAAAAATGATAAATTATCTAATTTCCTTGAACTACCTAAATTGAACTAAACTGGGTAATCTAGTAAAGGAATGTATAGTAAATAGATGATCAGCAATCTGATCAAAGGAGAATAACGTAAGTACTGTACGTACGTACGCTATAAATTAGAATTTAAAACAATGTACCATGAATAAATAACTATAAAAGTTCGCTCAACTTAAAAAAAAAAATTAATTTCTTTTAATCTTGAGCTTGTAATAAATATTTTAAGGTATAAACACTTGTCGAAATTACGTTGTATTATATAGAAGCACCGATCTTATAATTAAATTTAAAATATGCTGTTGTCTTTTTATTCGAAATTTCGTTGACTTTAGTGTAAATTGTATAGAGATATAAAGTACAGAGATATAGATAGCAATCAATTATTGGCTAATGAATGATCACGTGATCATTTTTTACTACGATATTATTGGTTATTCCCTAATTGCAACCCCCCTAAATGCACGCTTCAAAGCTGGTCCCGACGATGTGCATTTAGGGGGGTCTGACTGTATTTAACTTTTTTATTATCAAACTGTGAGTGTAATCAGATGGGTTAGTATCTATAATCTGATCATACCAGTTGTATTGGAAGGCTGTGAAATGTAGTATAATGTACAAGTTACATGAAACCCAAGTGAAACAGCTGTGTAAATCTAGAGTTTGTGCACGCATACAGAAGCCCACTTAGCAAGACCTGAATAGAGAAGTAGCACAGATCTTTGACAGTATTATATAAAGAATTATCAATCAGAAAACCAGAAAACTGAACAAGATCGAAGGGTTTGGCAAAGCACTCCACCAATCTGGTTATCGAAGAGTAACTGGAGGAAAAGGACCCAATTGTGGGAACCAAGAGCAGGTCACAGCCTTTTCAGGCTATCTGAATTGGAAGTTTGGGATAACAGGTATATGGGTGATAGTCTGTATAGCAGGTGCTGAGGTTTGGACAAACTCTATAAGAGTGGTAGTAGATAACTGTAACAGCCTCAGCTCGCAAGTACTTGTCCTCAAACTTAGCATAAGTTATTGAAGAAGACTAGGTAATACGGTAACATTAGGTATCAGACTGCTCTAGCAGGTGATATACTCGAGGATGAATTGGTTAACCATGCTAGTAGTCTTATAGGTGGACACGTGATGATTTTAAAACTTAAACTAACTTATATATCACATATTCTGGGTGAGATTAGATAGATTGGCATAGGAAACTCAGATCAGAGAGTTTAATTGAATAACTCAAGTAATAGTAAATTATAGGTATAGCATCTAGTATAGAACCTAATAATAGGTAGATACTTAATTAGCCGCTCAAAAGGTGCAGGTATGACTAAAATGTACTCTTATCAGAATGTACTTGTTTGGAACCCCTTTGAAAAGAGCACCATATGATTCTATAATATAATAAAAACAGAAAGCCAAAGAGGCTAACCTTGACTATCAAAAAAAAAACTTTTTTATTATATAAATATATAGTATAATATACAAATAAAGATTTTTAATATTTTATATATAATATTTATCTCTCAGTAGTCTATAAAAATATTAAATTACAAATAGTCAAACAAACTAAACAATTCTTAACTATTTTATTCAACAATCTTCTAAACTGATTTTAGAATGAAATATAGTTCATATATAATATCTCTCAACATCAATAGAAGTAAGCTTGAAATATTACTTCAAAAACTAAGCAAAATAAATACTTTTTACCCAACATATCTTTAATATCAAATACTACTTTACCTAATATATCTCAAATAAACACTTCTTTTATAAAAAAAATGATTTCTACAAGACTACTCTTTAACTAAATGTATCTCTTAATATTATAATATATACCTTAGGTTTTCTCTAATCTATTTTAGCAAACCAATTAATAATAATAATTGATTGCATTATATAGAAAACTAGAGGATATAATATCATATTGGGTGTTTAATATAGTAGCACAAATGTAGTTCTGAAATCTTAATGTAGAATTTCTTAAATAAAGTTTTTTTTTTTTTGAATGTTAATGGTGAAACTATGTCTCTATCTTTATTGAAATTTAATTTAATTCTCTTACAATGAAAAAAATACATTTAAACTCCATATCCTAAGATAACAAGAAAAAAACTCAGACTAGTTTATCTGTAGCCTAAACCAATAAATAAAGTTTCAACTATGACATTTACAAAACAAAAAAAAAAAAAAAAAAAATTTGAGTGCCACCAAGGGAAAACCTGAATCCGGAAAGTACAGGTTATTAAAATCATTAGTAATTCATCATGATGATATTAACTTGTACTTTTCGGATTCAGGTTTTCCCAAAGATTTTTTTCGTAGTTTTACCGGCTGCCCTTGCGTCGAAAGTGCGTCAGGAGTACGTCGAGCGTAACCCGGGTTTACATGAG